TCCACAGGACCTCTATGTAAAGGCAAATTGTAGTCCAAATGTGGTCATTATGGATGTCTTATGGACGTCTTTATAAGCAGTGTAAATACCATTTCTAAAATGAGATTAAATTTGATGTGTAAAAGACGTCCATAACGACCACATCTGGACTACATTTAGCCTTTCCACAGAGGTCCTGTGGACATCAATACTACACATTCGGTAGATGTCGGAAATTGGACGTCCAAAAATGACTAAGAAAAAACGTCACTGCGACGTGTCTTTGCACATAGTTGTTGCCACTATATTAATGTTTAAAATATCATATAGACACTTTACACAAAAAACCTTCTGCAGGGTTTTTGTAAGGAATTAATAATACCTCAGGACATACAGTGGAAAACCTTTCAAGCAAGGGTTTTCATCTACAGTCCTTGAAAAAGCATATAAATGACTAAATGATGATTTTCTTTGTTTACCTCGGTCACAACGCTGGAATCTCCTGGTTCAGTCTCATAGTGCCATCCATTTAGGCATTTTGTTGTGGTGTTAAGCCCATACTTTTCAATGTCTTCCAAACTCTGATTCACAGGTGTGAACATTTCACAGCTTTCAAACTTTCCATCCTCGTTCACTGGGATGGTGAGATTCCTTTGTTTCTCCTCTGTCAGATTGGGTCCAGGATCCAGGATCCAGTCGGTGTTGCAGTGATGTGGGAAGTTCAGGCCCATAAACACCTGGCTGATCACATCATATCCCATAAAAGTGTTGGTGAGGCATAACGCAAAAAGTAAGCGTTTCTGAAACAACCCAAACTGCCCGATCTCCCTCAGGATCTCCCCAAAGTTGCTCATGGTGATGTGAGGCTTAGCTCACAAAGGTTACTTATAAAAGCAAGACATGAACAGAGACACCAAGAATAGAATGGACGTCATTTAGCCTGGCTAATTAATAGTTAACCAAGCTCAGCCCTGTCAGTGATGTGAAGTGGCTCCATCTTTTATGAAAACAATCATTGCCAATATTTGTTTAGCAACAATAAAACCTAAGGTAGCCAAGACACTAAAATGTACAATAACAAAGACACTGGTAATACATTTGCTTTAAGCACAATACGCATCAACCAAGGTGCCAGAAGTACTCCTCCACTGACGCCACCATGTTGTACCTCCACTGAAAAACCAAAAACCGTTTTTCTATTTTGAGCCTCCTCACCTCCTCTGTTCTCTTTCTTCCTGCCTGTGACTTGGAAATTGAGGTTAACGAGACATCTTTGAGGATTTCTCATTTCCTAAAATTCATCTCGAGGCCAGAGAAACACGGAGAGAGGAGGCCTGCAGGACGAACTGTGAACTGTCTTCGCTGTATCATTTGCAGAAATCTTTGATGTCCAAACGGGACAGGAAACACAGCATAGTGGGAATTAGACGCGACAAATGTAGGTGAACTAAAAAAGGCTTAAATGCATGCTCACACTGTCTAACCCTTCATGTTTTTTTTGAAGCAGCATCTGTACAGTGCTTTTCATACAAACATTTATAGTGGTTTGTGCAACAAATGATGTATAGGATATAGCCGTGCCACACTTTCAGCCCGACTAATGTCGCCTAAGGGTGACAGCTCCAAATTATGAATGTTGCCTCCACTCGTATGTCAGATGTGAGGGACATGAGGGGAGGAGGCGAGGAAAGGATGCATGTATAAACTGAGAAATTATCAGCTGCGATCTGTATCCAGACCACTAGATGGCACTAAATCCTTCACTATGTTCCTTTAACACAGGCAACAAAAAGCAGACATGGGCAGAGCAACCACAGCTTCCAATGCAAGATGCAAGACAAGAGTGCCCAAAGCAAGTAGATTGAAAAATGGATGCACATTTCAAACTTTAGCAACATGAACACTATAAAAAAAAAAACAGACTGCTGATACGACACTATGTTCCCCAACTCGCTGCTAACTTTACAAGTCAAGAAAGGTAAATAACAGTGACTATCTTTTTTACTTTTCCGTAAGAGCTGACTCATAGCAACTGTTTTAACGAGAACAATGAAACATGAGCACATCACACCTGTTTTAGCCTCGCTACGCTGGCTCCCAGTATGTTTAACGATAGATTTAAGATTTTACTGATTACATTCGTGTCCTCTTTCCCAGTTGTACTTCTGACCTTTTAGGACCTTTTGCACCTTCACATTTGCTCTGGAACATCCTGCCTGAGGAAATCAGGTCAGTCAAATTAAATATTTTCATAAGACATGCTTTTCTAGGAGAGCCTTTTCTGATTTTATTTGAGTTTTTATTCATTTTGCACGGAAATGTGTTGCTTTATTCATTTTTCTACTCTGTTTGTTTTATGCACTTTTATCAGTTCTTTTCTTTCTTTAATTCTGAAGATGTTACGACCCTCGGTCACATCTTGCTGCCCTGTGAGGCATTTTGTAACCTAGATTCTGAAAAGTGCTTTAAAAAGAAAACAAAAAAAAGACTGTTATTATCAGAAAAATCACACATAGGGGCTGCATTTTATTCATTTATTTATTGGGAAAATAAAAACACTCATACTGTTACCCAGCAACTAAAATGAGAGAAGACAAGCAAATATACAGTGCATATAAATACACACACAAACAGCACATAGCTTTTGTACAAATGAATCTAATGGTTAACAGATTGTAACTACAAAAAACTATTTTGTAGTTACAGTCTGTTAGAATGTAACTACAAAAAATATATATTTTGTGTAATAATTTACAGGTTAAATGTGATTGAAGGTCTGCATACAAACCAATTACTTTTATCACTGTAGCAGCTGTGAGGAAGCGCAGTATTGAAATTGTTAAAACCTGTACATCCACATAAACTACATTTTTGTACTCTTTCCTGATTTCACCTCCTCAGTAAAGGATTTGGTCTCAATCATCGCATCCTTAGGTTCTCTGAAATGAAAAGGAAGATGATTGTTATATAGAATTCTTGCAAGTGAAACAAGTTGCAAAAGGGTTCAGCAACTCACGTCTCTTCAACGTGGTCCTGAAGTTCAGAATTGCGGGTTTCGGGCAGTAGGAAGCAGAAACCCCCAGCAACAATGGGAACGACGCCGTATATCGCCATGGGGATGGCGTAATGGTAGACATCCAGGAGTCTGATCAGAGGAGCGAGGATGCCGGCGACTCGAGCGAACATGGAGTTCAGACCTACACCGTTCTGCCTACCAGGACAGACAATAAACTCATCATTGCATTGACTAAGAGAAAACACAGCATCTCCTGCCAAAATGTTTCTCCTCAGGTTTACTATCTGTCTTACCTTAGAGCAGTTGGATATAATTCTGCAGTATAAACATAAACTGTCGAAAAACTGGCAGTAGCAGCAAATTTCCCCAGCACGGCGATGATTGTTACCACTACAGGAAGGTCTGATGGACAAACAAAAACACATTTCTGGGTCAAACAAAGAAGAAGTGGCATACAGTTGGGTCTATAAGTATTTGGACACAATTCTAGTGTTTTTGCCTCTGAACGGATCCACCGTGGATTTGAAATGAAGTAATCAAGACGTGATTGAAGAGTAGAGCATTAACCATGGAGGAATTACTGACATTTATTTTTTTACACAGTCCTTTTGTTTAAACAAGTAATTTCACAAAATAACATCATATTTTTAATACTTGGATGAAAACCCTTCACAGTCAGTGACTATCTCAAGTCTGAAACCCAAGGACATCACTACATTCTAGTCTAGTACAAAATAACCTTGGTTTTATCTCTTTAAATAATCTTGTTTCAGAATTGCTTTTTTACACGCAAAATCAAATGTACCTTATCTAAAGGGTTACCAGTGGTTTGCATCTTGTATTTACAATCACAAAGGCGTCTCCTACCAATGATGCACCAACATCCTAGTGTTCTTGACTTGGCTTGATGTTGTGTAGCGGTTTTTCGTCATTGAGAAAATAACTCTGCTATCATCCACTTTAGGTATCTTCTGTGGTCTTCTGGTGTTGCTGAGCTGGCCAGTGAGCTCCTTTGTTTTAAGAATGGACCAAACTGTTGGCTTGGCCTCTCATAAAATTTCTGCCATCTCTCTGATTATTTGTTTTGTCTTTACAGCCATATATTGGTCTGCCTTACTTGCATCAACACCTCTTTGGACTGTATCATGAGAGTTTCCTTTAAAAAGAAGCTACCTAATCAACACTTCGAGATCTTTTATTTCTTTAACAAACCAGGCCACAAAACTACTTGTTAGTCAATTGTCTCCAGAGACCCAAAAACAAGCAGCACCTGAAGGCAGCTGAAGCAAAGGCAGTGACATCCATTCATAAACGTTTGGTAATCACTCATCACAAATAAAAAGGAATCCTTATTTTTGTGATTGTGGTAGATGGTAGAGTTGCGTTTCAGCCTGTGATGGAAGATGGAGGACTTGGTGGAGGGTTGAACAGTATTTTTGTTGCGGGTCTATACTTCAATCATACTTTGATTTCTTCATTTCAAAGTCTATTGCAGTGGTGTACAGAAAATGACAAGAACTAACTGTATTATGCTTTTCAAGAAGATGAATTCAAAGCGAGCAAAACATTTGTCAAACAACAGAACTCCTGTTTGAATTATTGTATTAATCTCTTATTTGTTCCTTACCTCTTGGTATAGCAATAATCCCAAGGCAGGCAACCCCTCCGAAAAACAGCACCCCTGCTTGACAGATTTTCCTCCCAAAGCGCTGGAGGAAAGGCAAGCTGCCCAGACGTGCGGGTAATTCTACCACGCCAAAGATGAACTGCGTGAGGTAAATATCCAGACCAAAGTTGCCAACATTCAGGCTCAGTCCATAGTACATCAGACTAGTTCCAAACCTATCAAATGTGGGAGATATGTTCAGTGCAACCTCAAAGGTAATGGTTTAGATTGGAAGAAGTCTGTAGCTGAGAACGGTACTCACCAGACGCAGCTCATTATGAAAGCACGTTTTCTCAGATATGAGATCCTGAAGATGTCCAGAATGCTTCCTCTTTTGGACGTATCCTCAAGCTCCAGCTACAAGATTTTGATGTCATATTTAGGTGAATGTATGTTAGCATACTTCAGCACTTTACTGTATTTGACTTTGCTTTTAGTGTGTTTGATGCTGCTCACCTTGTCTAGCAGATTTTCTGGGACGGTTCTCTTGTTCACCTTGGCCGCCCTCCTGATTGCCTTTATGGCCTCGTCCTTCCTGCCCTGAGTAATGAGCCAGCGAGCCGATTCTGGGAGAATCCTAGATGACAGAAAGGTACCGGGATCACAAACTGAACTGCACATGGTATTTTATATTTGTGAAAATAAGCATCTAATGTGGCCAGAGCGGCTGCTGACATGTAGAAGATTCCCACGACGAGGACAAGAGGGCTGAAGAGCACCAGCTGCAGGATCCTCCAGTTGCGGATGAAGTAGGCAAGGCCAGACAACATCATCAGTCCAAGAGGGAAAAAAGAGTGGCAGAGAATGGTGCAGAGAGCAAACTTGGAAGAATCACTCCATTCTCCACCTTGAAAGCAACAGCACAGATGGAAAAGACTTCATTTTTAACATTGTTCAGCTCGTGTGTTGCTTATTTTAATGTTCATTTATGCTTCTGTGATGCAAAAGTGCAATGCATGCAACGATCAGATTACAATAAACTGTTGCAGTGGAATTCAAGACACTGCTGAGATTTTTAGTAGCACGATCAGATTAACAGGCTGAGGTCTGACGGATGTATTGTCAGTGTGTGTACCGACATCTGTAGCTGAAGTGTGATGCACTTGAAAGACAAAGCAACGCCCACCAGTGATTTTGGGCTTGTACGCTGCTTTGCTAAGCTCAGGCATTTGCTTATTTAGGTGGATGTAGATTTGGAAGCCATGATGGTAAGGGAATAATACCATGACAGGCTGCATAGATGGATCAGTTAGTTGATAAGTTCGTCAGCATATTTACAGAATATACGTAGAATTTACCATCTCTTTCATTCCCACTAACCCCCCTTCCCTCCCATCAGCTCTCCCCTCCCTTCCTGTCCTGTCCCGTGCACGAGCATGAATGTGCAAAAGCAAAATGTGCACAGGACACGCTGGAGCAGTGTTGTGTGCATTGGTCCGAGCCACTTTGTTTCCCATTTACAGGGTCCGGGCTGAATTTTCCTGTGTGTGTTGAAAACCCACAGAAGGGACAGCTAATGAAATAAAAATGATGTTCATACGACTAAACTGGATTCTCACTTAAATTTTGAGGGAGGTGTATTTCCTGCCACATTACATACGTTTGTTTGTTGAAACCCGAAGGGAAACAAGTAAAAGGAACTTGAGTTTAAGAAAAATGCTCCCACATGGGAAACAAACTCCAGTTTTAAGGGTGAAAATCCTGTTGCTTATTTACATCTTGCCCACACTTCCTCATGTGGACTTTGGAGGTTTTTCATTTTGGAAGTCTTTCCTAATATGTCACAGTGTTACCTTTAGAGGAGGAAATACATTTCTTTCAAAATGTAAATGAGAGTGCAGTTTAGTTGTAGTAGAATGTAATTTTGCAGAAACAGTGTTGGACCAAATTGTTTTTTTTTTTTTTAGAATCAGATACTCCCCTTTAACCAGATATCTGCAAAACTAATTGGTGTCAGTTTTTTTCCTGGATTTTTCAAATGAGACATTCATGTGTCATCTGCATATATATCGATTTAACAGTGTCTGATTTTGGAGCTCTGCATCGGTAGAACCAGAAAAGACAGACGGCGGCATTAAATACGGCTACGGAAAATGTACCTACCTATCACAAATGCATTAGCAATAATGCCTGAAATTGAGATGCCACCTAAAAATTTGAGAACTATATAAACATAGATGTTGGGTGAGAAACCAGCACCCACACCAAACAACAGCAGGAGAAGGAGTGAAAGCAGGACGACAAAGCGTCGACCAAACCTACGGAGACATGAAGAACAACCATTGATATATGAGCTTTTAAACATACTTTTTAAGCAGTACTACTAATATTTGTTGTTTTTCCTATATCGCTTGATGAATTTCATCAAATTATTTATCCTTGAAATTTCTATACAGCATCTTTCAAGATGAAAATCTTACATTTATGTTGCCTTTTCAACGTCATAATGCGAAAATGAGACTATAGGCAGCTATTGACTGAACATTTAGATGTAAATGTGCAAGCTATAAGCAGAAATGGGAGAAAATGTGCACATCCCATAGCTATTTATCATTTACAAGGATTCAAATGTCAAGAAGCTGAAAGCACTTGTCGACATTTAATTGCAATTCACTGGTTTGCAGATAATTGCTGTCTAAAGGTGAGTTGCATTAGAGTGGAGATCCGTACCTGTCAGCCAACTGCCCCATCAGCAATGCTCCGACCAGAAGACCAGCCATGTAGATGGACTGTGAGGCCTCAATGAAACTGCTCCTGTCACACACCAGGTTAAACTGATAACAGCGAAAGAAGAACAAAGAAAACAGAAACACAAGTTTAGTTCTTCTCAGTCTGGATTCACTGTTTTTATAAACTGAAAATTACAGTCAGTGAGAAACAAAAAGCGAGCTCGAGACTTCGTTGATTTTAGCATCATGAACTTTTGAGTTGGAAAATACTTAATGTGGCTTGTTTTATGGTTTAGGAATTAGTTATAAATCGAGACTATATAAATGTGTTTTTAATCAATACGTCAAAGCTGTCACTAATCAGCATCAAGCACCACAAACATGTTATTAACCAAATGCCATTACTAAATATTAACAGATGAGTAAGATGGCTCAGAAGGGAACTAAAGGTCAGATTTGACAGCTCATCCTCATAGACTTTGGACATATTTTTGGGCTCTAACAAGTGAAGCAAACGCAGAAGTGTCCTAAATCTGTATTCTTTCTAACAGCCAGCAGGAGGTGACAAAATAAAATCAGATTATTTACAAGTTCATTAGAAATGATGCTTCTTTTCACAGATTTATGACATCCACAAACATGTTTTATTTTATTTAGCTGGTCTTACATGGTCTTAATCACTAATTTTAAATCTCCTTCAGTCCAGCATGATGGTCATTCTGTAAATTATGGTCCAATATCGGGTAAAATAGACTATAAAGCAGCAACCTGTCCAGGGTGTCACCTGCCTTCGCCCTAAGTCAGCTGGGCTCCAGCCCCCCCGTGACCCTAATGAGGATTAAGCGGTGGATAGATAATGGATGGATGAATGGACTACAAAGCACATGCATATTTATTGCAATGTGGACATTAAAATAGCCATGAACATGTTCTGAACTTTGACTCTTTTAGTGTGCCTTCAGTTTGTAAAAGTTGATTGTAACATTTTGGTCACCTTAACATGCCTTGTTGTTGTTTGGCTGTACTACAAGAAATGGTCCTGGTGACGTAAATTTCATCAAAGGCTGGACATGAACTTTGGTGCCGTTGTGTACATAGTCTGCTGGACATTAGTCTGACTCACCAGAGGCAGTCCTTGGGTATAAGCCTGCCATTTAGACCCTGAATTTCTGGCAATTTTCTTTGCCCCTTTTGCTGCCTGCACAAACCCACTTCATTACAAGAAACAACAGCCTCCATTCAGCAACCTAACTGTTGAAAATGGCAAGTTTTACTGTATATTTGGATCGCACTGTAAGGTCGACCTACTTTGTTCTTTCAGGGGCTTACTCATTATAATGCCTCACTGCATGTTCGTGTATGTTAGCCCACTTTACCTGGCACTGTTTCAGGGGGCGCTGTCATTACATCCTGGGCTTAGCTCCGCCAACGATGATTGTGATCAGTTTAAAGAAATACTAACAAGCCCAAGCATTTTTTATTTTTACTATTTTATAAGGAGGTGCAGTCACACTATTGTACAGCACTGGTGATGCAGGACTAGCTGCACATAAATGGAACACATCCTTCAAGTGGACTGCAAGTGGACTAGAAAGCAGTATAATAGAAACAACTACACACAAGTGGTGTTTCAGAAAGCATGTTTTGTTTTAAGCTTGTTTTTTGCTATTCAAAATTAGCATCTCAATTAGTATCACAGTTAGTGTGAATTAGAGATGCATCTTGCCAATCAAGATAACTGGCATTAGCTGATAACTTAGTGTTGCTATGCGAGCAGAACCCTGCCATGCTGGTAGCCTGTGTTGACAGACTGTGCAGTGGTTAACCCAATGCAAGCATCTTAGTCTGACCAAAAGCTAACCGTAAGACATTTGTTCTTGGTTTCTGACACATCCCCACCTTTTTGTCCAAATGTGGTACATTTTGCCGCCAAAAACAGATGGCGATGGCTAATTTTACAAACTCAAGACTTCAAAACAGTAGTCCACAAACCGATGGGTGACCTCATCCACTAATACCTAATAAACTGGAACATTCACAATACTAAAATCCTACAATCACTAATTATGATTAAATGAATCGGTAGCACAAGAAAAGTTTCATTTTGGCACAGCGGAATATATACATATTATTTTTAACTGTGCACAGATTGTAAAAATAATGTCTTACCTGAGTCACGATGCTGGAGGCACCTTCGGGGGCCTCAAAATCCGATCCATTTATGCATCCCGTTGTGGCATTAATTCCATATTTTTCAATGATTTCCAATGCCAGATCCACTGGTGTGAACATTTCACAGCTTTCAAACCCTCCATCCTGGTTCATAGGGATGGTGAGATTCTTTTGCCTGTCCTCTGTCAGGTTGGGTCCACGCTCCAGGATCCAGTCGGTGTTGCAGTGATGTGGGAAGCTCATGCCTGTAAACACTTGGCCAATCACATCAAACGCTACAAATATGCTGGGGATGCATAATGCAGCCACCAGACGTTTCTGATATAAACCAAATTCCCCGATCTCCTTCAGGATCTGCGCAAAGTTGCTCATGGCTGAATTTGAACGTCCTCAGAGCGTTATGCAGGAACAGACAAAGATTGGGATCTGAAGCGAGGTTCAGTCACCAACAGTCTACTTGACTCGAGCCCTCCAAGTTAATGTTTAAACCGACAATCACCATGTTTATGACGGACAAATTGCTTACAAACAGACATCGAAAGTATATACCGCCCAATGTGACCTGTCAGAGTACCTCAGGTGTAGCTCACGTTGTCAGCATAATAACAGGCCTCTAGTAATACTGTTGGATAGAACCAGATGACAATAAACTACAGAGCAAAGGCCTAAACTTATGACTGCAGGATTACAAAAGTCTTATCATGACCTTGTCAGGTGGAGCATGTTTGGTGGACAGTCGGCCTTGGAGCCAAAAATATTTTCCCTGGAGTGTAAAGATCTCCCAGATTTTACAGAAATCCTTCACAAACCAGTCTGGCTAAACTACTTTTAAGAACAACAACAGCTCAGAAGTCAAATGAGGTTTCTATCTTATGACACAAAAAATGATAAAAAAAAAAAAAAAAATAAAGATAAAGAGAAAATAACAAAGCTGTGTTTCAAAGTGCACAATAAAAAGTTCTGCATTGCGTTAGAAACTTAGAAGTCATGAGCGGAAGGCGGTTTGTGTTCATCAGCATCACAGGTGTCCTCACAAATGCAAAGTGCTTGTCATGTGAAGTGGGACATGTAAATGTGATATATTTAACATGAGAAGAAGCTTTATAACCGCCAATCAAAACTGATTAAACCACACTTTTGCATTCCTGATATAATTACTTATTCATATTTAGAAACATGTTTTTCAAGTTTTCAGGGGCTTTAAACTGAGATGGGGTCATCAGGGATACACATGGAGAATGGAAGGCTGTTACAGATGTGCAACAGCATATTACTGCCACACCATTAACAAAACAAACCAAAAAAATCAGGATCTGAACATTATAACATGGAAAGTTTGTAGCATGTTTTCATGTTATAACAAGATAGTTTTGCATTATTACGACAAACAAACCCATCACGTTGTAAGAAACTTTTCTTGTTATATGTTGCTATAATGTAAAATGTTTCACATTATAAAGTTGGAACTAAATATTTTACTAAAACACAAAGAATAACACTCATGTAGACAGTGTGACTTTGCTACATGATGCTCCGGTTGA